GCCCCCGTACCCCCGTACCTGCAGCCGGCCCCGCATGGCGCAGTTCTCCCTGTCCCGCGTCTCCCAGGTGAGGTGCTGCGGGCGAGAGGGGGGTGGGCAGGGGACCCCCGCCCCGGCCCCCCCGCATCCCCGGGGGCGCTGGCCCCGTCCCTTACCCGCTGGGGGTACAGCGTCCCCTCCTCCTGCCCCAGGTCGAAGGCGTAGATGTGGTCCCTGGGGGGAGGGCGTGAGCGTGCGAGGGGCACGGGGGCGTGCGAGGGGCACGGGGGCACACGCCCCGCGCAAGGGACTGCGGGGACATTGGGTGCCACGGGAGGGAACGCGGGGGCACAAGCGCGCACGAGCGTGCGGGAGCAGGCGCTGGCAGGCACGAGCGTGCACAGGGAGGGCAACCGGGCTCCAGCACGCAGAAGTGGGCACAAGCACACGCAAGTGTGCCCAAGCGTGCACAAGCATGGACAAGCACACACAGGTTTGCACAAGTGTGTGCAAGCTTGCAGAAGCATGCAAGCCTCGGAGAAGCACACGCAAGTGTGAACAAGCATGCACAAGCTTGCACAAGCACAGACAAGCATGACACACATGCACAAGTGTGCACAAGCTTGCACAAGCATGGATGAGCATTGACAAGCAGGTACAAGGCCGCATAAGCTTGCACAAGCACAGACAAGCATGCACAAGCTTGCACAAGCATGTAGAGCGGGGACAAGCTTGCACAAGCACAGACAAGCATGTACAAGCATGCACAAGCGTGCACAAGCACGGACAAGCTTGCACAAGCACGGATAAGCATGCGCAAGCATGCACAAGCACACATGAGCTTGCACGAGCACAGATAAGCGTGCACAAGCGTGCACAAGCACACACGCGTTTGCACGAGCACAGATAAGCATGCGCAAGCGTGCACAAGCACACAGGAGCTTGCACGAGCACAAAGCGTGTACAAGCCTGCAGAGCACAGCTGAGCGAGCACGAGCGTGCCCAAGCGCACCGGCGCGTGCCCAAGCGCGGCGACGCTCACCGGGCGGCGACGAAGAGGGTGCCGTTGAGGCGCAGCATGTGCTGGAAGTCGAGGCCGAGCTGGGCCGTGCCGTTGTCCCCGCGAAGGCCGCCGAAGCGGGGGTAGGCGGCGGTGGCTGCGGCGACGCGGGGGACGCGGTGACACGGGGGACGCGGTGACCCCCCGCCGGCCCCCCGACCGCGGCCGCCCCCCGCTCACCGGCCCACCCCACGGGGGTGCGGGCCGCC